AGACTGTGCTGTGGGTGGGGTGGGGGGACTTACACACACCTGAGATTCAGGACCAGTGTGAGGAAACGTAAAATGGAATAAAACGCAAGGCCAGAGCTGGGAATGAGTGGGGAAAAGGCATTAGACATGGGAAGAGGCCCGAAGCAACATGAGACAAGCAGTTTAGAATGGGGGCATGCAAAATACATGAAAGGAGAATTTAAGGCAGCATGGGTGACCAGCAGAGGGAAGAGAAGTCTGTGAAGCTGGTGATGGGTGGAGGCAGCAGCCACTGGGGATTCATCTTCAACCCTAAATGGGCCCCGCCACCGTGCACAGCCCTCGCTGCCTTCCCTGCTCCTGCGTCTCCGAGAGGCCACGTTCGGGCACCACAGCACTCACCATATTAATCTTCTGCTCCTCCCTAACCGTTAGCTGTGTCTGCCCTTCTGCTGTTCCCCACAAACAGAAGTACAGAGTCAAAGACCCCTGAGAGTGAGAACCATGCTTTGAGCTTCTCTTCCCCTGAGGATGCATTGGGCCAGGCAGGGCACGCAGCTCTTCGATCAGGTGCTGTCTGGACGTGGCTGTGGCAGTGTTTGGGGCCAGTTAACTTTAAAGGAGATCACGCTCTGCAATCTGGGTGAGCCACAACCAAGCCACTGAAAGACCAAAAAGCAAAACTGATGCTCCCTTGAGGAAGAAAAATTCTACCTGCGGACAGCAAGGTTAGCCCCTGCCTTTCTGAGGTCTGTCCTATGGATTTCAGCCTCACCAGCCCCACAGTCACATCAGCCAATTCCTTCAAATGAATCCACACACACACTCACACACACTCACACACACAGTGGGCTGTTTATATCTAGGGGCTGTACATCAAGGGATTCAACCAACTGTGGACTGAAAATATGCAGAAAAACGGCATCAGTACTGAACACGTATGGACTTCTTTTCTTGTCATTACTCCTAGACAGTTATGGGATCCCCACCATGTACACAGATTTACACTAAAGTAGACATCATAAGTCACCTAGAGATGATTTAAAGTTTACAGGCGGATGTACGTGGGTTCTGTGCAAATACTGTGTCATTTTACTTAAAGGGACTTGAGCACTTATGTGGGGAGGGGGTGTCCTGGAACCACTCCCCACATGCTGGGGAACAGATGCATGGATGGATGGATAGGTAGATAGATAGATAGATTTATGTGTTTGTGCAAATGTGAGTAAGTGTGTGTATGTCCTACTGACCCTGGAATTGAGTCCCTTGTTTAGTATCTTGAGTTTTCTCCTCATTTCATGGATGATTGTCTCATGGCCCACAGCCTGGGCGTTTATTCTCAGTGCAGCGGGTGCCAAGCATGTCCTCCGGGCTGCGCACGCGCGTCAGCTGAGGCGGTGAGTCCCAGGTTTTAACGAAAGAAAGCAGAAGCGAGGTTTGCAGTGGCGGGGATTCCTTACCACTCCCCCGGGCCCTCCTTGCCCCGTCATTTCTCAGGACATCGTACAAAGCCAGGCTTTGAACTAACAGTGATCTTAGTGTTCATTGCTCTGTAGGAGTTTTGGGGAATCTTTTAACCGCTTGGGGTTTTTCTTTTGTACCTGCGACTTGAGAATTTTACCACAAAATGGAGAGGGTGCTGATAGCTGTTCTGATAAATGTTCAAACCAGCCTAGGCTCAGGTTGCGTTCCTCAAACGTCCATTTTCCAGGAATCATTTGTCAGTTCAGTGTTTCAGCATTAGCATCGTTTCTGTCTATTCTGTACACGGTTATTTATTGTAATTATTATGATAATTTCAGGTCAGAGAAGTCACAAAGCTCTGGGCTAAATTGTGCCCAGGAGTAAAACTGAGCTTAGCACATCCTAAATGTGAAACCTTTAGTTCAGTGCTAAGTGCAGCAGGAGAATTCCAGCATCCGCCCCTGCCCTGTGAAATTTTAGTCAGCAGGGAACTGAATGGAACTGCACTACCTGTGATCATTTTCTTGCACTAGATTGAGCTTCTTGGTGAAAGCAGAAGCTTTGAGAAATCTACTTTACAAATCCAAAATTGGGCAGAAAAGAGTGAGGAAGCAAGAACCTGAGAACATTCTTTTCTTTTCCAGTTTGTTCCCTGGGGAATAGTGACTGATAAATTGTGGCGAGCCCTCCCCTAGACAAAGTAGGAAGGAGAGGAGAACATCTAGGGATTGTCCCTCTCAAGCTCTGGTCGGTGCAGTAAGTGCAGATGGTGTGAATCAGAACTGCTCTCTGGCCTGGGGTGTTGCTGGGCGGGAGAGTGCTTGCCTCACATGTGTGAGACCCTGGGTTCACTCTCCCAGCAAAACAAACAACACTTAACTACTCTGAGTGGCTCACCTCTTGTGTATTTTGAAATCCCTTTAAAATCAGCTCTAAAAGTACTAAGCCAAGCCAAGCCAAATAGCACTGCGAATATAGGGTGGCTTCCATATTCACCTCCCTCACAGCTTGAAAGCTAAAAGGAAAACACGGGGCTTTGAGGAATGCTGGTCTGGAAGCCAGTGCTGAGGGAGAGCCTGCAGAGCCTGCCTGGCCTCCTCTCTCCACACTGTGAGCCATGGGGTGCAGGAGCCCAGGGCCCAGGCCTGCTGGCATCCAGGAGAGCGCTGCAGAGCCAGTCTCCCACCCTGGTGCTTGCCAAGCGGGGCAAGGCAGGTGGGATGACACTTCCCCATCCAGTTGGTTTCTTGATGGTTCTGAGCATTACTGTGGGCCTACTGTGGGTTATTTCCTCCTCAGCGGTGCCCCTTCCTTGCAGCTTTGGTATTAGAGGTGAAACGAGGGAGCACTTGTCAGCATTTGAGTGACCTGAGTACATCATTTTGCTGTCCCTAGCAGTCCGAATGAACACACGTAGGAACCCCAGTGAGACACCATTGCGCCCTGCCTGGTCAGCAGAAGTGAGGACACTACACCACCCAGGTTGGAAAAGACTCGGAGTGGTGGAACTCTTCTGCACACGGTGCTGGAGGCATTGGTGTGACACAGCAGCTCAGCACGTTCTAGTAAAAGGCGAGAGCTATGGGCCTGCGGGCTCTGCTCCAGCGGGGCCAGAGCCGTGTGCTAGGATGTTCTCTGCACGGTGGGTACTAGAGCCCCACATTAGAAACCGTTGAGATGCTGCTGCGCAGAAGGATGACTAAGTAAGCCATGGCTTCATACATGAACAGGAATGGACACACTGCAGCTACACACAGCGTAGGTGCTCTCTGTCTTGCTCACTCCGCCTCCCTCCTGCTGTCCCTTTCCCACTTTTCCTCCCCCCCTGCTCCCATGTGCCTCCCTCCCTCCCTCCCTCCCTTTCTTTCTGTCTGTGCTGGGGATGGAACCCGGGGTCTTATGCGTGCTAGGCAAGGGCTCCAGCACTGAGCTACAGCCCAGCCCTTGGCTCCTCTTAACAGCATGATATTGAGGAACAGAAACAAATCATATGACCCTGTGATTCCATCCACCAGAAGATTAGAGGTGGGCAGAAAGCAGGCTCTGCTGCTCAGGAGTGTAAACAGACGGTCAGCTTCGAGAGCTAGGAGTCACTGCTGCAGAGGTCAGGGTTCGCCTCCGGGGTGGAGCGGCAGGGCACAGGAGGGAAGACGCGTGTCTGCTGTGTAATCGCTCTCTGCGCTGTGCGGCTTGTGCATGTCTTCTTGTGTTTGTGTCTCACACACACCCAGGGAGACGGAAAGTGGTTCTTTAGAGTTGCTCAGTCACACAGGGCTCATACTTGCCGTTGGTAGGCCTTCGTCTTGGTTTTTCAGAAGCATCCTTAAACCTGCCTTACCACAAGGCTGCCTCGGATGCGCTGGGGCTGTCCAGACACCCACGTAGCCCTGAGAGCACCTGTGTGTCCCTCAGCCCTGGGGTAGGTTTCACGACTCCCTTCTCTCCCTTTCCCTGGCAGCTGTGGCTACTGAAGTCCCAGGAGGCCAGGACAGCAGGGGGCGCTCCAGCTCTCCGGGGCCCGGCCTCCAGGAAGGCAGGCGGCTTTGTGGGCTGGAGGGCCGCCCTTTTCAGGGTTATAGAGTAGGATGCTAGACAGCCTATGGGGAGAGGCAGAGGACCTGCCCTGACCCGACCTGTGTCTGGTGGCCCTCGCCCGAGCCCTTCCTAGGAGCCAGATGTTGGGGGTGCGGCTGTGTCCCTGGGGAGGGGACCTCAGGGCCCTGGCCGGGGCTACAGGACCACCGAGCTGCCAGTGGTGAGCGGCAGCCCCACAGTGCTCCCTGAGGCAGAAACCACTGGGGAGAACTGGGTCCTAAGTAAGGCTGCAGGCCCGGGGGGAGTATTTCTGCCCCTGCCCAGCCTCCTGACTGTCCACGCCCTGGCCCCAGGAGAGAGGCCCTCGGGTAGGGCGAGCCTCCCTCCTTATGCGTCGCCTCTGCTGCCCCCGAAGCCGGTGTGCAGGGCCGAGAGCAGCCGGGAAGCACAGGCGCTGGCTTGGAAGGCCGAGCCAAGCACACAGCAGCTTCCTTGTTCCGTGGGGAAGATTCTAGGCCCCCACCCTGCCAGACAAAGCCGTGGTTTTCAGCTGCCTTCTGTCCAAGAGTAGGCACTTCTTATGGACTCGTTAACAGTGGAACAAGGCCAGACCTGCAGACAGGTGAGGCTGTGAGCACCTTCCGGTTCTCGATGGCATGGCTCATATTCCCCACTTCCCAGACCGATAACCGGAAAGACTTGTCCCGTGTCCTCTGCTGCTCCACCTGTCCTCCTCCCTTGCCCTTCCTCCCGGCCTCCAAAGCTCTGGCTAGCCGCGTGCTGGGGGCGGGGACGGAGAGACAAGGGTGCAGATGGAGTGCGGTGTGGGAAAGGCGGCCGGGTATGTGACCATTTCACAGAATATTCTCTGTTCAGGGCCCTTATATACAATTGTTTGGTTCTGCAAAATTTGGTCAAACTACAGTAGCGAATGTCTTGGGCAGCACTGGGGGGTACCGCCCCGGAGAAGGTAAGAAATCACCTTCCAGGGCGCTCATCTGGGTGCTGCCCCTCCCCCACAGGGAGGAGTCGTGTCTGCCCGTGACCTGGACCTCGTCATGTCTGATGGACTGGGCATGCGGTACGCGTTCATCGGGCCGCTGGAGACCATGCACCTCAACGCGGAAGGTACGTGTGCTGCTGAGTACTTCTCTGGGTTTTGTGAACAGCTGAAATTTGCCCCCTTGTTTTTAACTACTTAGCAGAAACGGCGGCATCTGTAGGAGACAGTCGGCGGTCCTGGGAAGTCCCACAGGTGCAGCCCGGGACACAGCGCTGGCCCTGAGGGGTAAATGCACCTGGCGCGCGCGGCCCACGGGCTCCGTGTGGACACAGGATGTGACGGGCTCTTTTGCCTTGCCCCGCATGGCGGAAGAGGAAGTGCTGTTTCCCTGGGGAAGGTGATGAAATTATTTAGAGGCAAGAAGAGAGAAAAAGAGAACAGGTGTGGAAACAGCCCTCTGCTGGAGGGCTGTTCAACAGGAGTGGCCTGACGTGCACTGTGCTCCAGCCGCAGGGCTCTCCTGCAGAAGGCTGCCAGGCTGCGGCGCCAGGGCTCCCACGGCACAGAAGCTGGCGCCGACTGGGGGGCGGGCCGCCCGGACCTTCGGCCCAAGCTGAGCTCCGAAGCCCCAGGTTCCCAAGTAACTAACAGATAGCACGAGGACCAGGGCAGAACTCCATTTCCAATGATGTCAGAAGAAGGTGTCATTTGTAAAACAGCCAATGAAACCAGACTAAATGAAAGACAACCAAATTAGAACAAAGTATACCAAAAACACTGTGTATCCAAGTCTTGACAGATGCCACCTAGATGTTTGGCTGTCTTTCAGTATTGGCATGATAGGTAACTTACCTATTTGCTTCTCTGCATTGTCATAAATTTCCGTAATTACTGTATATAACTTGAACGGTGACATCATTAACTGGTAAAACGTAGGCAGAAAGGAAAAGGGAACGTTGTATGTGGCTCCACGGTCTGCCTTTAACCATGGACACCGAAGAAGATGAAAGACTGGAGAAGGCAGGCAGTCGCGCTCGGGCTCAGTGCGTGCAGAAAGAACTTTCTAGTAACTGGAGCTCGGTGGGGAGGGCCCGGGTTGGAGTGGGCGCGCTGAGCACGGTTAGGTGTTCCGAGGACTCCCGCCATGCAGTGGGAGGGCAGGTGCGGCTCTCTGGGAATCTGTGACTTCAGCCCTTAATCCCTTGGCACTGGTAGTAGTTCAGTGGATTTTCACCACGGCAGTTCGTGAAATACTTGCCAATGAGTAACTCAGGGCAGCTCGCTGGACGTGACCCTGCACACAGCAGGCACACGCACGGTTTCGTGAGTAGAGCGGCTGTGCGTGCCACAGCTGTGCAATCCAGCAGCTGGCGTGAGTCTTCCTTAAAGTGGAGCGTTGCTGAGGGTAGCTGACGGGCCGAGAGAGGGCTCCCCACCACTGGTCCCCACTTTTACAGGAAGATGTCCTCTGACCGCAGGAAGCAGTGTGAGGCAGGGTGCCCACATGCAAGTGAAGCAAAATACTTTAAAAAAGTAGCATTAATATAGTCTTGGATTTTTTCAACCAGATCTTATAAGCGGTGAAGATATTTAAGCATTTGAAAAGTGTATAAACACTGCCTGATAACTACATATTTTTCTTTCTCTTTTTCTTGAGAAAAATAAGATAACTGAGGTATCATGCGAAATCGATAGGGAGAGAACTGAGAACAACCTTGAGTCTCAAACAAACAGAAACAGAAGCCAGTGACACAGAAACTCTAGACTCAAGTGGGGTGGCAGACAGGAAGGAGGCCTATAACAATTTTTCAAACAAAGCCGATATGATAAGGAAACCTAATTGCCTTAATATGATCATGGAGGACGGATGTCGTTTTCAACTTCAGAGCATTCCAGAGCCCAGAGTTACGGTTCTAAGATCTGGCTGGGAACCAGTGGAAATGGGCAGTGTCGCCCAGAATATATCAGGAGGGGACAGGGAGCTTTTGTTTCTGCAGATACCGTTGTCATCGGCAAGCCTCTCGGGCAGTGTGAAGGCCTCTTTAGTCCTAGAAGCCGCCATTTATCTACAACCGGTGCAAATAGTTTAGGATTTGTTTTTAATCTAACAAAACAGTACCTGCAAAACAGGAGGGCAGTGTGCTTACTCCGCATTTGGGGCCACTTTTTAAAAACATTACCCATGGAGGACCGGCTTTGGGCGTTGTTCTTCTGGCCCTGGAGCCAGTCGGCCGGGTCCCTGTGCCAGCCTTTCCCCTTATAGTTGTATAACCCTGGACCAGTACTTTATCTCCTCAGTTTGCTCCCCTGTGAAACGGAGATGACAACAGTAGCCGCTCCCAAGGCTGGTGTGAGAAACGCGCCGGTGTTAGCCAGCTGGTTGGCGCAGATCACATCCTCAATAGATATCGTCATAGAGTTTTGCCTTGTTTAATTTGTTGTTCTTCCAAGTTTTTGTTTGTAATTTTTTGTATGTGTGTGTGTGTTTTGAAATTTTCCCCGAAAGATTTGCATGTATAAGAGCAAGAACTGCAGACTACAGAGCCAGACTTTTCCCGCTGTGCAGCAGGGAGGCGTCAGAGTGAGCGCACGCTGGAGCTATCTGGTGTGCTGCTTTGCTGAGGTCTCTTCTCTCGGTGAGATGACCTCTCGGAATCGGCCTCCTGGAAGTTACCTCTGGGTGAAGCGGTTGTTACTCCTAAATGCAGGCACTTGGCTTTTTTTTTTATTGCTGCCTGGTGGGTTTGGATCATTTATGTGAAGCTGCCATGTATTTGTCAGAACAAGAAGCCACACTGATCGAGTAGGGTGTGGTGAGAGAAGGCCCTTCCCTGTGATTCTGCCTCCCTGGCCCTGCCCACATCCTCCCTTGTGTTTGGGAATTTGGTCCCGGGAGGGAGGGACTAGGTAGTGGTGCTCTGAGCCTGCAGGCCTTTTTGATCTGATTTCCCAAGTTCTGTGAACCCCATCTCTCACAGCACATGAGTTCCTGTAGTGTGAGTTCAGACCCTGGGTGAGCGCGGAGCCGGGCCGGGCCTCCCTGTGGGTGTCAGGCCGGTGCCGCACGGTGGGCGTGCCCCAAGGGAGTCTGATGCTGCCCCACTAATGTGATGGACAGGAAGGGTTTCTGCCTGTGCATTTTGGGTCCCTGAAGGTTTAGGAGATCCTCTTCTGCTGGGGCCACACAGATGAAGAATCCTAAATTAATCCCGAGGTAAATGTGGCGCTTGAGCTGAATCCCATGGCATTCCGCTCACAAAGGCTCCTGAGAGGGTCTGGGTGCTGCCACCTCCCCTAAAAGTGGGCATACATAGTCCACTTATTTCTCGCCTCCTCCTGGTGTGGCCTGGAATTTGAATGTCTTCCAAGCATCTAGATGGGGCCTTGGTCAGCAGCTTACAGTTATCGGAAGGTGGCGAAAGCTTTAGAAAGGACCTAGTGGAAGAACATGAAAGGGTGGCCCTTGAAGGGGGTTGGGACCCCAGCCCTTCCTGTCTCTCCTGGCTTTCTGGCTACCATGAGAGAAGCAACCTCACCCACGATGGACTCCCCACCATGATTATTACCTCCACCATGATTAGTAGCCCAAAGCAGCAGTGCGTGAGCACAGGCTGACCAGGTGTCCGTGAAATGCACGGATGGAATGGAGGCCGAGGGGCACGATACTTTTCAGGGCCCCAGAGTCAGGGAAAGAATGAGTGGTGCCTAAGTGGAAGTCCTCGCCCCAGGCCGGCAGGCAGCACACCTGCCCTCTCTCTGGAGAAGAACAGAGGTGACCGTCTGGGGGCAAGGCCCTCTGAATTGGAGTCTCAGTGTGGATCGTAGATGTCCTCGAGGATACAGTGAATTCCCCTTCTCATGCCCTTTCAGGTATGGTGAACTACTGCGACAGGTACAGCGAAGGGATGAAGCGAGTCCTGAAGAGTTTTGGACCCGTTCCAGAGTTCTCTGGGGCAACAGTTGAGAAAGTGAACCAGGTGCGTGGACTCAGTGTGAGGAGCTCCGACTGCCCCCTCCCCTCTGCCACCTGCCAGTGGGACTCTGTCTGCGGGGGGGTCTTGGTCCTCCATTTGGTGGTTCCTTTTTCCTGACTTTGACCATAGTCACATCCAGGTCATCAGCAGACTTTACAAGCTGTGTGAGCTGTGAGTGGAAGCTCACCTTATCCCCCAGGTCTCTTAAGGTTTGGAAAGTACGTGTAATTGGGGTTTTTCTGTTTCTTTGGCCTTTAAAAGCAATGTGGGGACAGTAGGCATGAGTAGAAGCCACAGGCACACTCCCAGCAGGCTGTTTCCTCTAATGCTTCCCCTCCCTTCCTCTCCCTCTGCAGGACATGTGCAGGCAGGTCCCGGATGACCCAGAGCACTTAGCTGCCAGAAGGCAGTGGAGGGACGACTGCCTCATGAGACTTGCCAAGCTGAAGAGCCAGGTGCAGCCCCAGTAGATGTTCTGTAGCACTGCTTCACTCCAACGCTGAAGTCCTGTTTGGGAAAATTGGAAATACTTGATTCGTGTCTCTTAGCAGAGAGCAGCCCAGGGGTGCACGACCTGAAGATTCAAGAGCCTTCCTCCCCGCCGTTTAACCACCGAAATGGGTGGAGGCGGGGTCTCCTCGTCATCTGGGGCATCACCCAGGGTTTGGATGTCATAGCCGCACTTGGGTTTGATTTCCTGCCACTTGGGCAAATAATCTAAAGATTTAATCTTTTCTGTAGGATTACATAGGCTGCATTTTACAGTTGATGATTGTAGCTTCCTGTTACTTTAATCAGTAGCAAAACTATATTTGTAATCAATTTCCTGATCCCTGTCTGAGTACTCTGTGGCTCTGCATTTAGGACACAGTGATCTTCACTGTACTAATGCTTATCCTGAATAAAAGGTTTTGATTCCATAAAGACGCGTTTTCTTCGGCTCTTCCTAGGAACAGCAGCACTCAGTACTGGTGCTGTTGTTGCCTGTCTTCGAGTGACCACCAAGATGGATAATGGGCAGGTACTTTGTTCTGGGTCCTTGGTCTGCTGTCTAGCGGAAATCCTCCCATTCGGGTCAGTGCCTCCCAAAGTTGGTTCCACGCTGCTCCATGACTGTCTACCTTTGAGGGCCTCCATGCCTGCATAAATCAAGGGCTGCAAAGTTCTACAGAATAGACACCCATTCAACCCATCATATTCCACTGCCTGCTTTTACACGGGGTCTTTGTGATCACTGGCTCCCAGGGCACTGGGAACCAGCACTGCACACACCTCCCTCTCGTGCAGCCACACGCATCACAGCGCCCCAGCACCGGGTGCCACCGTGGGGCCCCTGGGCCTCACTGTCCCGGTGACGGGGTCCCAGCCTCACCTGGAGGGAGCTGCCTTTCCTCCGGCTCTCCTGGTGCTGGAAGCAGCATCACTGATGCAGAACATGTGGGAGCGTCCTCTCTGCTGACGTATGTCTGACGCATAGCGGCTCGTGGATTCTCACAGCATGTGCTGAGCAGCTGAAAACGCCATGCACCAGAAGTGTGACCCCTGCCTCTCCAAAGGTCACAGAAGACAACAAAAAGAGACCCAAACACACATGGGGCTGTGGTCCCTGGGAGAGCACAGCGCCACTGCGGGCCACGGAACAGGAACTAAAGAGACGCCTTCTAAAATACTTGCATGGTTTGTGCCTGGATGTCCCTCAAACCTCACAAGGTCAGAGAGTTTTTCGGAGGTGGCTGAGTCTAGAGTGTGTGATTGATTTGTGGTGCAATGCTGGGATTAAGGGTGGGTGACTGCTGGATCAGTCCACTGACTGGATTGATACCACCCTAATCCTGGTAGGCTGGATACAATGTAAGGCGCAGAAAGAGGCTTGTCTTTCCTTTCTGCTTCCTCCTGGGGCTGCTTCATCACCCCTGGGGCTCTCGGGCACTTCTGCTTGCTTCCAGCGTTTCCTTGTGTCCAGTTCCTGTGTGCTTCGGGTGCCCCGCCTCTGCCTACTCCATCTCTTCCACACTGACCCTGGCAGGGGCCGGCCTAGCTGGGCGCAGGGGCACCCCCATGCGGCCCACCGCTCCCCACACCTGTGAGCCATGGGCGTTCCGCGAGGACCAGCCATGGAGCCAAGACGCTGCAGAGGCCCTAGGCGAGCCAGGCAGGGCAGCCCAGGAGAGGGAAGTGGGTACCAGCTGGGAGCACATTCACCTGTATGCCCACGTTCTGCTTCCCCACCTTTATATTTAGTGCTTTTGTGTGGGTGTCAGGCATATTCTGAGATACAGTCAGCTTTCCATATCTGCAGGTTCAAAATATAAAGACTCAACCAAGAATCAAGGAATTTGGCAATAAAATTCCAGAAAGTTCCAAAAAAATTACACGTGAAGCCTTTTTTTGTCATTAGTCTCTAAGTAAATACGGTGTAGCAGCTGCCCGCATAACACCTTTGCTAGGGCTGGAGCCACCCAGAGGCGATTCACCAGGCAGGAGGGCGCGTGTGGGTCCTGCGCAATGCTGAGCCGTTTTCCAAAGGGGATTTAGGCCGCCGCAGAGCTTGGTATCCTCTGGCATCCTGGAACTAAGGAGATTTAGGGGTGGCTGTGTGAAGGGTACAGGGGCTGCAGGTTTGCTTATCGTTGTAATGAAGAGTCAGAGAAATAAAGGAGGAGAACAATGCCCAGAGATTCTCGCCTAAAAGCTGACCCAGAGGTTAAGCATCTCAAGCCCGAGAACAGTGGAGAGCACATCTGAGGCTCTGGAGCCAGCCAGCTCTGCAAACAGGTGGGAAGAGCTGGAATTGGTCTGGTGTGCAGCTTCAGGGAGACCCAGGGAGACCCAGGGCTGGAGCCCAACCCCATATGCAGTCCAAGCAGTCACGTCTGAAGAGAGCAAGCTGGGTGGAAACGTGAGTGGCTTGGCTTGCGTGAGGCTGCTCTGCTCCAGTTTCTTGTTGCTGGGGTCTGCAGGACGCTTGGTTGCTCTGAGCAGTGGACAGCTGCGCAATGAACGCCATGTACCCACTTCCCACGCTGTGCTTCTGTCCACCCAGGACACGACTCTGCATGTCACTGCTGTGTCTCCCTGGGCTCCTCTGGTCTGGGCCAGTTTCTCAGTCTTGTGTTGTTTTTTGTGACCTTGGCAGTCCTGAGGAGCCCGGGCCTGGGACCCTGGAGATGACCGCAGTCTGGGTAGGTGTTGTTCTCAGGAACAGACTGGGATCAGGTTTTGGATTAGAGGAGTGTCCTTGTCACGGCTCATCAGGCACGTAGTGCCCAGGTGACATTACTGGGTGTTGACCTTCACCGCATGGGTTTGCCAGGATTTTCCCCTGTGAGCCCGTATTAGAAAGTAGGAGTGAGTTACGAGGACCAGCTGATCAGAGCCCAGGCTGGTTTCTGGTCATCTCAGCAGAGCTGTAAATGGTATGATGCACACAGTTCTTCGCCTTTGGGTGTCTGAGCGCACAGTCTTCCTAGAGCACCCGCAGTGCCCCCTGCACGTCAAGTCAGGATGATTGTCCAGTTTTGCACCCTTGGCATCAGGCCCAGTGATGTGGCTCCTATGATTCATGTCTGGTTCCTACCTGGTGTGAAGGTACAAAAATTTTTTGAAAAATAAAGGCCACAACTTGTGACCGGGAAACAATTTGCTAATGCATATGATGCATGTACAGTTCAGGAGTGATGAGAGGATTTTCTCACACTAATCCCTGTCAGTGGCAGCTCTCTCCCCTCTCAGCTCTCTACTCAAAGGACTGATGCCAAAGCCAGAATGCCAGTTTTTTTCACTTAACAGACTCACCTAACAAAATGTACTGAGCGCCAGGCCCCGCTCCAAGTGTTGAGGACAGAGCACAAGGCGGGAGGCACAGCTGCTCCCACCGAGTGCACTGTGGTTCTGGTGGGGGAAGCTGACACACGACTGGCCGCGTAGACCACGGGGCGTGGGTGAGCCGTGTGCCTGGCTGCAGCCGGGGAGCGGGACCGGGGCACCGGGAGGTCTGCATGGTGCACAGGCCATCAAGGCTTGAGGAGAGAGCCTGTGAGCGGAGACCAAAAGGAAGGGAGGGTGAGGTCATGAGGTCACGGCGGGATCTGGGGAAGAGCGCTGTGGGAGCGGGAACAGGCTGCGGAGGCCCGAGGCAGAGCATCCAAGGAGCAGCTGGGGCCCTGCGTCTTGAGAGGAGGGTGAGAAGGACGAGGCAGTTGGAGAGGAGACAGGGAGGAAGCCTGGCCCCCACCCTGGGTGAGGAGCTCGCTGGGCGGAGGAGTGGCACATCTGAGCCAGGACTGGCTGGCTGGCTTGGGTGGAAAGGGGCTGTGTGGAGGCCTGGGCGGAGGCCAGTGAGACGCTTCCCGTTGTCCCGGCCAGCGGTGGGGCAGGTTTGAAGGTGAAGGCAGCAGTGGTGGAGGAGAGGAGCTGCCAGGGTCTGTAGCTGTCTTGGAGGTGACGCTGAATATTTACCATGTAGGTAAATATGGCATGAAATAGCGTTGTAGGTAAGGCACATGCATGCAGCAATTCCCTTCACCTTGGAGGTGAAGGCTGGGCTGGCAAGTTGGGTCGGGGAGGGAGAAAGAAGTCAAGGGCAGCTGTGGCCAGAACGAGCTCTCGGAGGGTAGAGAGCTGCCACTGACAGGGCTGGTAGACGGAGAAGCGGGTCTGAGGGAGGGCAGTGGTGGGTGGCGCTGCCCTGGGACTGTCCGTCTCAGCCGCAGGTGCCCCCAGCCGAGTGCGGGCAGAACGTGGGTCAGGCAGGAGGAAGCGCTCTGCCCTGTGCGGTGATGCTGGAGACAGAGCCCTGGCTCGTCAGCTCCCCTGCAGGCTCCGTTTTTACCACTCTACGTTCAGAGTGGCGCATATGCTGATCCCCCAGGCCAGACGCTGTTGTGTGCCTAGGGGTTGTGCACTGAGGTGGGCTGGCCTTGACCATGACAAGTTCACAGTCCTGGGGAAGAGAAAAGCACAGGCAGCACCACGTTTCGAGAGCAGGGAGACGCTGGTGCTCCACGCGTCCTGGGGGCCCAGCTGAGCTGCTGAGGGACAGGGTTTCAAGGTGTGTCCTGAAGCAGGTGACATCGGAGACGGCAGTATTAGAGAGTGAAGGGAATCGGGCAGCAGCGATTAATTCCTACCCCTAGAAGAGCATCGTACGTGGACAGGACTAAGGAAGTAATCGTTGAAAGAAAGCGTGAATGAAAGGGGTGAGGGCGGAGCTCCGTGCAGAAGGAATAGGGCGCGGTGCACTGGAGTGGCCTGGCCCAGCAGCCGCCCGCCCAGCAGCCTCTGCGCCGTTGGAGACATCCTGCTCCGGGGCCTGGGCCGCTGGTGTGCGCGCACCCTGAGTGCCTTCCGCTTCGTCACGGTCGGCTTTCATCGAAAGCCCCACTGGGACAATGACCTCCTGTTAAGCTCAGAGCTCGGCTCACTCTGCACGCATTGAGGTCCCACGCCGTGCGCCCACCGAAGACTTTTCAGTTCTGTTGAAAACCTTCCTTGCCTGGCTGCCGTCCAGACGGCATCGTACAGTTGGTGGATTGAACATGAAAGATGATGCTGGTCATTTGGGCTCGGCGTCTTTCAACACATGACTTTCGCTTATATCTTTCTCTGTATATAACTTTTTGCTTGTGTTGCTCTCGCTTTTTAAATAAAAGCAAAAGCCAGAAACTTCTGTAAATATGGGCAAAACACCATGTAGGTAAATATGGCATGAAATAGCGTTGTAGGTAAGGCACATGCATGCAGCAAACACATCTAGAAAAGAGCAGGCAGCCCCCAGGTGCGGGTCACAGGCACAGAGGCTTGGCGGGACCCTGCCAAAGGGCCCTGAACCCAGGCGGCCTGCGTTTTCCCTCCCCGTGCCCTGCACTGAGCCCCAGTCCTGGAATGTAGCATGGGAGGCCGAGTAAGTGAATGGCGCTCCCGGA